ATGATAAGAAGGAGCCAGACACACAAGGATCTGGTGAGGGGTCTTCCAAAACAAGGGAACAAGCCCAGTGTGGACAAAGGACAGAAAGAAGGCCGTTGCAGAGGGAGACAGACAGGGAGTGAGAGGGGCAGGGAGGGAGTCTGAGGGAGTCTGCAGGGGAGGCAGGGACAGGCCCCAGACCCACAGACAGAATCAGGACTTCACTCCAGCTACTCTGCCTCCACAATTTTTTATCCAAAGAAAATCAGTTCAAGTGACCACGTGATTTAGAAATAAACAAATTTAAAACCAAGCTCCTCAAGTGAAGATAAGCTAGAAAGACAAGACCTCACCCTCTGAATAAAGATATAGAACCAAATACCCCTTAGAGCTTAATTCAGGCCAAGCACACGTGCTCAACAATGTGTTGAATCGGTACCATGCAAAAGCGATTTCAACTGTATACACAGAGAGCATGAACTTGCTCACAAAACCCTGGACTAAAGGGACTTGAGGGCCTGAGAAAGGGAAGTGAAAAACAGACCAAAGCCCATCTGATGTCACAATGCTGGTTACATCCATAATAGCACTCAATCCCACCACAGGACTCAGGCTCACAATTTAGAACTGCAAACATATTTAGATAAATGCACAGAGGATGCCAGATAAATACACAGATGCATTTGAGTTACTGAGGGAAATCAGAATGGCCTAATTTTGAAATTTGACATTAGGCCCCTCTGCCCAAACCAGGATCTAGGACCGATGCAAGGCCTGAGCTATTTTCACGGGTTAAGCCTGTAATTTTAATTATAGCCCGAAAGGGAAAATGAACCTACAAGAATGAGGGTGGGCAAGGCCAGGTGCCCAAGGTCAGGGTGAAGCCATGGCCAGCTGTGGGCAGGGGAGCATCACATTGTAACTGATACTATGATAATCTGAGGGCTTGTCTCATCTCTGCTTCTAGGGGGCTAGAACCGCATCTTACATTTCTGCCTCCTTCAAAAATGCACAGCGTCCTTCCTACGTGCCCCAGGAGCTCAGGCATCTATCAAACGAACATGCAGACAGCTGAGGCAGTCCACTCTGGCCAAGCAATGTGGCCCTGAATGAGGTCCCTGAAGTCAGAGGCAGTGGGAAAAGGACGACAGGAGCACACTGGAGATGTGAACCAAGGTGAGGCACCTGTGAGCTAGCCACACCACAATGAAACAGTGAAGAGAAATGGAGAAAAAAAACATTTTTGAGGAAACCTGGTCCAACGCTTGAAGGGCTGTCACATACGAAAGGAATTAGACCTGTTCTTTCCAAGGCCCCAGAAGTCAACTGTCAGCTGAATTTAAGGAAGAGCTTCCTCCTGACAAAGTATTTGTCACAACATGTTTAGTGGAATGCTAGCATTCAGGGAGTGAGAATGGGGTGGGGGGAGGAAGGCATTCTAAATAATTGCATAAGAAAATAAGTTTGGGGATTTGGGTCAAAGACAACAGATGTTCTTACTGAAAGGCATACCTTTCAGTCCTCAAATTTATGTGGCTCCAAAGAGTTTTTCATAGGATGCTATGCACATCTCACAGAGTCTCTACGTTCCAAGCTTACCTCTGGGGAAAAGATGAATTAGAACTGTGTGACAATAGCATCTTTTTGAAGGGTTGAGTGTCACACCAACATTTGAGTGTTTTTAGGGAGTAGAATTCAATACTGCATAGATGATACAAATACAATCTGAATAGAAAGCTAGAACCATGGGTTCATTCTCCCATGGACTTGCATCTTGAATGACCACGTAGCAGGCAAAAGGGTCCAGTTACACCTGAGGACACAGACTAGCTATCCCCTCCTGAACCTCGCTGTCCAAATGAGTGGGTGAGATGGATATTGCAAAAGCATCCTGGAAACAATCAGTGCTATTGCTGGGGAGCTGAGTGACAAGACGAGTGGGCCAGAGCCCACTCTGACTCTCCTCATGTAGTATTTTGTAGAAAATATTGCCTGCCCACCTGCCTTCCTCCCATGTATCTATCCTTTCTGTAATCATTCACTGGGGGCCTTATATAGAGCAGTATTAGTAAGTAAAACCAAAAAAGATGCTGTTTATGACTGCCTATGGGGAATTTGGACTATAAGCAAACACATTGCACAAATAATGATTCAACTGAGGTTTTTCTATATGTTACAAAGGAAATGAAAGGTACAAAACAATAGTCCATTATATAGAGACTTTGTATAGTGTGGGATTTTACGATGGGTTCTCTAAGGGAGCACAGAGACCATGTTTTGCAGACCCTCAAATGTGCAGGTCCAAAAGAAGTCTCTGTGACATTCCTCTGGGAAATCATAGCCCCATGGGATGGGAAAAGGCCACCCAGGCCCACCCACCACAGCAGCCTCCTCTCTAGCACAATATCATATGGATCCTCTATTTGAGACTATCACTGGTTAGGTCTGGGGGAGGGTGGCTGGAGAATTTGCATTTCTAAGCAGGTGATTGTAAAGCTACTATTCCACAGACCACATTTTTAGTAGCACTACTCCATCAGGCAATTTAAAAGACCTAAATAAATGGGGAGCTATCCCGTGTTCACCCACAGAGAGGCTCAAGCAGAAAGATGTCGGTTTTCCTCAAATTAACCTATAAATTCAATATGGTCTCAACCAAAATTCCCACAGAGTTGTTTTGTTCTTTATTGTTTTTTAACTTGACAAGCTGATTCTAAAATTCATGTGGAAAACTAAAACAATTTTGGAAAAGAACAAAGTAAGGGGCTTGCCTTCGCAGCTCAAGGCTTACAATAAAACTATAGATGGAGTATTGACACATAATTAGCAAAAGAGACCAATGGAACGGAACAGAGAGCCCCCAAACAGACCAGTGCCTTTAGGAAAATGATATAAGGAAGATGGCATTACAAATCAGTAGGGAAAGGATGAACGATTTGGTAAATACTGCTGGAGAAATTGGTTATTATATTTTTAAAAACTTGATTCCTCTCTCATATCATATGCAAAAATAAAATTCCAGGTAGATTGTATTCATAAATGTGAAAGACAAAACCTTTAGAACTCTTAGAAGAAAATACAGAAAATTGCTACAACTTTGGGGTAGGGAAATTATTCTTAAGACACCAACTGTGCAAACCAAAAAGATTGACAAATTTGACTTCCATAACACTGAAACCCCCTACGTGCAGTATTTGAGAAAACCCATACACTAGGAAAAGCTATTTGCAACACAGATACTAATATCTATAATGTATCAAGATTTCCTACTTATGAGAAAACACAAACTATCCAAAGAGAAAAGGATATGAACAGGAAGCTCAAACAAGAAAACCCAAATAGAAAACAAACAAATATTAAAAGATGCTCAACCTGACAATAGAGAAATGCAAATTTAAAATAGTGGGATACCATTTCATACCCATTACACTAGCAAAACTTAAAAGCTTTGACCAGACCGAGTACTGTCTATTATGTGGGGCAGTAGAAATTCTCGCACACTCGTTTGGAGAAAAAAATAGAATAGTCCTTTTAGAAAGCAATTTGACATTATCTGATAAAACTGATAATGCATGCACCCTACCACCCAGCAACTCCACTCTTAGGTAAATGACCTGGAAACCTTCACTCAGGCACACAGGGAAGCGTGGATAAGACATTCACTCAATGTGCTTAATAAGAGTGGGAAAAGGGACAGTCTAAATGCCCATCCAGTGGAGCTGGATAAATACAATGTAGTCTATTTATACAGTGAAATACTATATAGCAGGAAAAAAATGAATGAACCAAAGCTATATATATCAATAGAAATACATCTCAAAATCAATATTGAACAAAGAAACAAAGTTGTAAAAAATGTAAGTAATGGATAGCATTAATATAAAATTTGAACACATACAAGAAAGACCTAGGTACTATTTGGGATTTACATATACATTTAGTATAAACATGAGAATGATAAATCTAAATTCAACACAATGACCCCTAGACAGGGTAGGAGAGGGATAGTACCAGGGAAAAGAATAAAAATCATTCATAAAACCACTGCCCCTCCACACTACTATTAATCAGTATTAGGGTAGGGGAGGTTCTTCAACAAAACCAGACTTTTTCAGATTAAAAAGCCTCAGAAAGCATTTAGCCTGCCCTCGACCCACAGAGGAAACTTCTCTTCAATACGCTGGGCAGAGGATCCTCCTACCTTTACTATAGATGCTTCTAAGTCAGGGCTGCTGTGCACAGTTATGCAGGTTGGCACTGTACAATCTAGAGCACACATTTCAGTGCTAATGACGCCCCCTAGGGTTGTGCAGTGAACCACTAATACAACCATATGTGGCAGTCCTATAACTCCCAGGTCATAGACCCCTTTGGAACACTGATGAAAAATGCCCATCTCCTGGAAAATGCCCACCCACACAATCACTGCCTGTAATGTCAGTGGACTCAGACACCTCCCCAACAGTGATCAGCAGCAGCCTGACACTGGTCAAACACTTTGGGGGATGGGTGCTCACAACCTTCAGAAGTACCTGCAGATACTGTGAGACTAAGCTCTTCCTTAAGTACATTTGAAACCTGCCTCTTGATAACCTCTATCCATTAAGGTTGATCTACTTTCTTTCCGCATGACACTTTAGCTGCTGAAAGAAAGCTAACCTGTTCCCCACTGGAGATTTCTGCTTTCCAGGCTAAATATACTGTTGGCTTAACTTCTTGCAAACATCTTCACTCTTTTTAAAAATGAATTTTTAAACTGTCCACCATTTTACCAAGCACTTCTTGCCCTCCTAAGCAACTAGGCATGTTGACATGTCATCAAAGAACAAGAAAGCATTTCTCTTAGCTGTCCCTTTAGGAAACCTCTAAAGATCTCCACTCTGGCTTCCAATGCATTCAAATGCCTACAGAAGCCAGGAAGCCAGGCTGGAGGAAGCGTCAGGTTTTTTCCTGCAATGTCGGCTGAGCAGAGCCAGGATGGAGCCCCCACAGCTAAGGGAGACAAGTCATGTTCCACTTACTCCCAAAATTCCATGACGGGGGAGGTGGCGTTCTGCAGGGACACATGGCTGTGGTTGCTCACATTCAGTTTCTGGAACTCCACACAATTCTCTACAGTGGAAACAAGACAAGAAATAGAAGAAGATTAACCTCTGCAAGGGCTGGGTCTTGAAAAACATTCAGAGCCGATGGTGCAACCAGGTGGTTTTATCTCACCGCTCCAAGTAAACACGCCTCAAAGAACACCGAGGGTAAATATCAATAACTGACAAACAGTTTGAGAGGCTTGGTCTGATTCAAACAGGAGGAAAGGTTTTGGGGGCAGGACACTTTCTCTCTCTCATTTTCACTCAATGTGCCCTATTGAACTCTTCCTGCCTTGTTCCCAAATCTCCTTTCCTTTTTATTCACTTCCCTGTCGAAGGCCTGGCCATGGATTTCCCATTTTGCTCAGTGGTCCCAGCAGGAATTGGGGGACTAAAGGACTGGGTTAGTTGTGGTGCCCCTAGGGCAGTAATGCAGTTGAGACTCAGTTTCCCTTCATGTACAAAGAGGCTTATCTCACTGCTGCCTGATAAATATGTGACGATAGGATGAAATGACATGAGCTTACATGTGCAAAGGATCCCTAGCTTTTTCATTATTCTCTCCCTCACTCAATCAGTCCAAGAAAGGATTTTTTTGAAGGTCTCTCCTCATTTCGTGAAACTTGATGACCAAGGGAGATTTGAATCTCAAGTAAAAACATCCAAGTGTTCATCCTTTAAGGCCCAGAACAACTCATATAACCCTCCTCCAGGGAGCCTTCCCTGATCTTCCTCTCCTGAATTCTAAGAAAGTTAGAATTGAAAGGCCCTCCAAGGAATCACCTTCTCTCATTCACCTTATTTTGAAGAGGAGGACTCCAGGTTTAGAAGTAGTCAAGTGACCCCAACCCATACCCTCTCCCAGCTCTACAAATCACCAGCCAGTTAGGGGCAGAACCAGGAAGCAACTCAGCCAATGTTCCATCCCCTTTTCCATGGTCATTGCCCAGTTCTGTCTGCCACCACGGGACCCATGCCTCTTTATAGCACCCTTCTGTTTACAGAGCCACCTCAGCCACCAGACAGTGAGCTCCTGGAGGGGGGGGCGAACCTCCTGCGCCCACTGTGGAGCCCCTAGGCCCAGCACAGTGGCCAGCGTGGAGCCACTGTGCAGCTTCACTCAAGCACTTCTCACTTCTCATGTGTGTATGAACCCTTCAAACATCTCCAGTCTCTGGGGGTGGGAAGCACCTCCTGTATGTGTTGTTTCACACATTGCCAGTGAAAGGGGAAAGGAGAGTGAGAGAGAAAGCTTTGCAGTCCACTGAGGAAAATTCCCCCAATCGTCTCCTGCTTCCCACTCCACTTGGCAAGTGCTAACCATATTCTGAACAGAAGGGTCCACAGATGGTCCTGAGGGAAGTATGGAAACCTGATATTATAGGTGAAACACCTGGATGTGCCCTTTGTGCCTTTTACTGGAGATAGGAGTCCTTGGTTTTGATCACATTCTCTAAAATTGTTTCTTAAAATTTTTTTTTTCTAGAGTAAAAAAATTTCTCACACACCCAAGGTTGACAAGGCATTTTTATTAAGATGATATTTAATCATGTACAAATAAACAGTGAGTCATAAAGCCTTTGTGATTATAGTATTCATACAACTATAAAACCAGAATTAAATTGACAAAATACCAACTACAGACCCAATACAATTCAAATGATAGCATAAAATGGATGTGTAAGATAATGCCATTTTGTGAAATTGGATGGATTTCCCAACAGAAAAAGGAACGGACAGGCAGGAGGCCGGGTCTATTCAGTTCAGCTTGCCTATTCTTCTATGGGCTATTTGAGACTCAGCCCTATCACCATTTTTTTCTGTTCACACTTTGCAAAACCTTTATTCCCACAGTTTGTTGTGTTCTCAACTGGATGTCACTTAGTACTAATGCACCATTTATGAATTAAATCTCTCCGCTCTTTTTCCCTTGGCTGCCATCATCCTATTTACCAAGGCTGCATCTTAAATTGTGAACACTCACAAAGGCAGGCACCCAGATCTCCTGGCTATCCTCAGTTATAAGGTGGCCGTACAGGCGATCCTGAACATGCGTATATTTTTAGAGTGTCCTCAAAATAAACACACACAGTTAAGTTATCATAGAAGATTCACAGGCTTCCAAGAAAGCGTCTTTGAAATTTAGTTTGATAAACATCTCTATGAGGTTCCTGGCCAAAAAAGGTTAAGAACCAGGGCACTAAAGTGAGACAGTGAGACCTCCACAAAATGCGAGGGGCAGGAGAGCAAGGTAAAGTCTTGCAGAACTAGAAGCTGGTTCAATGCACTTTCTAGACCTGATGCCTGCTGTTTCCTTCCTCTGGTGACAGACATCTTACCCAGTCTTACTGTAGCTCAGCCTTCAGGATGACAGGCCACTTTCAAGGACACCCTAACCACATGAATGGTGAATAGCTTAAAGTGCGTATGCCAATTTCAGTCAAAAGGCATTGGCTGCCTGGAGCACTGCTGCGAAGGGTTCTGAGGCCAAGACTAGAATCAAAAGGAAAGAGTTCTAGAATTGATTAGTGATGTCTGCTCTAAGCACTACCACTGTAGATAAGAGTTGGTATGGATTTGCCTTCTCTGGATTCTAAGACTCAATCCCCGATAGGAATACAAATTGAAAAGCAAACAGCATATTAGTAATCTAATAAGTTAGATTAATACCTAATCTAAAAAGTTATCCATTCAAGGGGCGTGGGGTGAGGCTGGTGAATTCAAATACCTACCTAGGTTGGACAAAGTATATGAGCAAAGTGGACTGGGTGGGGACTGTGGCCTCATCCAAAGGCAACAGCCACTTTCCAGCTACAGCCATTGCTGCCAAGCAAGACTATGGGAATGTGGGTCTGATGTTGGCAGTTCTTTTCAATATTTCAACAGAAGCTGGAAATCTGTATTTTCATGTGAAGTCTTCTGATTTTTCAATTTAGGTAACCAAATATATTTTTAAAATTTGCTGGTCACTGATTTAAAGCCTAATTAGCCTATTGGCCCCCTGTTTGCAACACTTGATGTAGTCTGACCCCTTCATTTTACAAAGGAAAATCTGACACCTGGAGAGGCAGGGCTGGAATTGGAGCCTGAACCCCTCACATCCCCCCTCTGGCCCCAAAGGGCTCAGTTTCTGTACTTGGCAAAGCAAGGCAAAAGCATCACCATCTTCTACCCCATGCCAATTCTGGGCCAGGGCTCAGCTCAGGTTTCAGGGCTGCAACCCACAGAATGGACCCAGACCCAGTGCAGAACTGACTTCTAGTTTCAGTGGAATCTGGACTCATGGTGAAAGGCTAGAGGCCAGGATTGGTCTCCAGGACAAGGACACCCACCCCCAATCCCAGGCCTCCCAGAAGGACCAGCAGAGAGACCCTCCCTAGGAGCCATACCTGTGTTCCACTCATGCCCACAGGTGGCCCAGGGGAGCTCGGTGGTGAAGCAGTTGCTCAGGTAGAAAATGGCCCATGCCAAGATGATGATATAGTACACATTTAGATGTGCCTCGATCACCTGAGTTGCATAGCCAATCCCTGAAAGACCAAAGGAAAGGGAGCAATTTGAGTCTCTCTCCACTTTGTTAAAATAGTCTCAGCTACTTTTCACAGCCTGACATCACCTAGGCATCATTTTATTTTCTGATTAACTCAACACTTACCTTCAAATAAAGGGCAAACTTTTCTCCAACAAGTAATGCCACCTTCACTCGTGAATTGTCCCAGAGCTGTTTCCAGGAAAAAAACAGGAATTCCACAGCAAATAAAAAACACCACATATGGAATCAGGAATGCCCCTGCAAGAATGCAAAATAAGAGAATATGGTTAAAATCGCACCACCATTTCATGTTCTGTACAAGCACCTACTACAGGCAAGACATAATGTTCTCTAAGCTTGAGTTCAGGTTGCCACTATGAGGACCAAAGTCAGGAAATGTGGCCCTGGGTTTGTGCCCTCTGCTACCTAGTACTGTGAGTAATCTACCTCACATTCTCCCTGCCTCAACTTCTTCATCTGTAAAATGGGGCTCTCATGCTTAATATCTGCACCACTTATCTCAGAGAATTATTGTATAGCTAAGATGATGATGTAAAAGAAAGTGTTTGACTTGCTTGATTCTTTATTTATACATTTCACCCTCCAAAACAGGTCAAATTCATTCCCTCCCTGAATGTTGCATCCTTCTTTTTTTACTCTAAAGTAATGCCAAAAGGCCAGGTAAGGGGACCCCTTATTATTTACTTTGGAAGTGACCTGCAAACTATCTTTTTCATACAGATGAGCATTCTTGAGATATGCAGTAAGCAACATCAGGCTCCTATACCTGAGGCCCAGGTATAACGTTGAGTTATAAACAGTTTGCTGCAAGAATCTGTCCAGAAAGACTGGCTATGGATCAGTCTGAGAAAAGACAGCTGTAAGCTTTAGTGCTCCTGTCTTGAAACACAATACCCATTGCCTGGGCCTTTCTGTGAAACAAATTAAATAACTGAGGTGAACATGAGCTATTACAACCAGAAAGGGATTTTTCCAAATCCCTCATTCTCTCCCTCCTGTCTAATAACAACGCATGAAAACACATGCTATTTCCCACCATCTGATCTCACAAATGAAGGCTTTAACTGAAATTGCTTTTTGCTAAATGAAGTCTCTTCAACCGCAGGATCAATAGCAACAATTTGGATCAATCTTGATAGGAGGACCGTATCTAACAGGTTTTGAAAGGTTCTTAGCTTTTCTGGACAAGACAATTTTTACAATTTTACACTGGGAAAGAAATACTTTACTGTTGATATCTATGAGTAGAGCTGTGTGGGCATTTTTTCAAAAGGTAAATGGTTGATAAACAGATATCCCCAGCTATATAAGAAGGCAAAAAGTATATGAAAGGGGATAAGAGGGTCTCAACCTAAGTGATTTTTAAAAGCTGTAGGTTCCCTAATATGCTGCAATTTACCTGTGAATTCTCTAGAACCTAACAAATGACATTTTTAAAAGCCTTTTGTCCTATGTACTCACACAGCTAGTAATCCTTACTATAACTAGCTTAATTAAACCAGGATATCTGTTTACCCAATGGAGACTCTTGGCAAGTTAGAGTAAAAAAAAAAAAATCCACTCACTTTTAAATTTTACTCACTACAACTTTAAAAAAAAAAAAGATCTGGCAGAATTTGTAATTAACCCAGCTTACCCTGTTTTCTGCTTTTAGGAATGCTTTTAGTTTTGGCATAACAATTTCCTGTATAAAAAAGGATGCTAAAACAATTTTTGCCTGGGGCTCTCCTAAAGGGTTTCCATAAGTTTCTAAGCAGACATGGCAGCTTAGGAAGGTTGAATCTGCAAAGGGAGGTGGGATTCACAGCTGAGGGTGCAGGGCACATTCAGGGTCTCCGAGTCCACTCCCTCTGCACCTTTTGCCAAGCCACCAACACCAGCGGCCACTTCATTACCAGTGCAGAGCAGGCTTGGAGCAGCCTGTGCCTTCAGGATGAATGTCTCCAAAGAAAAGGCTCAGGCCAAGCAGTACCCTTCTCGCTCTCCCTGCAGCTGCTCCCACAGGAAGTTCTGGCTCCACGCAGCCTTAAAAGTGTGGTCCCTGCCAGCCAACTTTGAGCCACCTTCATTGGGATCTGGGGATCTGCTGGTGGGGTAGGGGCACAGCAAAGACAGGGAGGGGCACTTAGACACATGGTTTTTGTTGGAGAACCTATGCCACCCGATAAGGTTTTACAAGGCCCCTTGCCTTGGACCTGCTGACTGTCCTGCTGATAATGACAAGTGGGAACTCCTGAAGTTTGGAGCCCCTTCCTTGAGCTGAGAGATTTGAGGATTACTGATGCATCGCCACCAAATTTACTTGGATATGTTGTCACTACAAATTCTCTCATCATCCCTCACATGCAATGTTATTGCTATCTGTCATGGGTGACTGTGAGACCAGTAAAAGCAACTGCTTGATGCCAATTCTTCCACCAGAGAGGCCCAAGAAGAGGCCCTAGAAAGGGCCTTAAGAGCAAAAGAAAGAAAACCAAATAGCAGTGCCTACTCTAAAAGTTCTCCCTGTTTGTTGGTCCAGTCCCAGGTTTTTTTTAAAAAAGTCTTTGGTGTCAGAAAGCCATCTTTATCACTTATTAAATGAGTAACTTCTCTGGCCCTCAGTTTCCTCATCTGCAAAATGGGTAGAGCACGGCCTACAGAGGTGACTGTAAGGATGAAATACGACGATGTGGGTAAAGCTTAGTATGGAGCCTGGCATTTCAGTGCGCACTCAAGGCCCCAGCCAACTCACATCATTATCAGAGTCCCTTTCTTTCACGGTGGTTTCCCGTTAGGAAAGCTGAGGCTCAAAGGGTCTGTCTCTTGACCCAAACAGCAGCTAAGGTACAAAATGCAAGGGCTCCTGGTCTTGGTCTGCACCACCAGCTGGGACGACATGCACCTGCCAGGCAAATCCCCGCGTGCTAGCTGGAGGCACATTCAGGTGCGAAGCGCAGGTGCGCATGCGCACGGGGAAGGTGAGCCTTGCCGCGGGGTAAGCTCACGCGCCAGGCTGCCCCGGGCCGGCATTCTCCCGAGGGTCCAGCTACACGCAGGCGCGGGAGGGGTCTCGCGCTCACCCCTAGCTCCCCGCCCCCACCAGGCTGGTTCCCGCCCCAACCCCCCGCATTCTCCTCAGTGTCGCGGGCCGCCTCACCTCCACCGTTCTTGTAGCACAGGTAAGGGAAGCGCCACACGTTACCAAGCCCGATAATCTCCCCGGCCACGCTCAGCACGAACTCCACCTTGTTGTTCCAGTGGCCGCGCTCGTGGACCGCCTTGTCCCGCTTGTCGCGCGGGTCGCGCGCAGACGCCGCGCCCCCGCCGCCACCCGGCGCTTCAGACTCTCGCGCCTCCTCGGCAGCCTTGCCGTTACCCAGAGGCAGCGCCTTCTCCGCCGTCATGGCCGCGCTGCCTGCCTCGTGCGCCGGGCCGGCTCTGCGCCGCCGCCCCAGGCGGGCTGGCTTTTCAGGAGGCGCGAGCGGGCGGGAGGGGGAGGCAGGGGGTGGAGCTGAGGGGCCGGGCCCACACCGAGACGGAGACCGGGACGCGGCGCGGCGGCCGGGCGCTCAGGGCGCCCACGCCGCCTCAGGCGGGCTGGGCCCGAGAGTCGGCGAGCACCTCGCGCGCGCCCAGTGCGTTGCGCGCGCCAAGCACCTTCCAGCGCCTTGCGCGCCCTCCCTTTCGTTGACCTACCCACTGGCCTCCTAGGACACGAGTGGAAGCGCCCACTCAGGCCTAGGTTGGGTCCCGACACCAAGCCCTGAGGTTCCACCATCTCTGTTACCTCCAAATGCTTGGGCCTCGGTTTCTCCTCTCTAATAAATGAAGTGGGCTCTAGGCCAGGCTTCTCCAACTTTAATGTGCACCCCAGTCACCTGCAGGTCTTGTTAAACTGCAGATCCTGATCTGCTACGTAGTGGGTCGGGCTGGGCTGGAGCTTTTGCGTTTCAAACAAGCGTTCAGGTGCCGAGGCTGCTGCTGGTCCAGCAACCACACTTGGAGGGAAATGAGAGTAAAGGAACTCTTGGTTTCTTCCTAGTACTCAGGGACTCTGTGAGCTCCCCAAGGGTTTGGGACATCTCCAAATCTTGTTCAAACTGGTGCCTACTGCTCTAAACACGGTGAGGCAGGATAGTGTGTCAGTTAAGCATTCGTGCCAGGAAGCAGACAAAGCTAAATTGAATCACGTGCTCCACCTAGCTTTGTTGTATGAAGTCACCTGACCACTCTGAGCCTCAATTTCCTGATCTGCAAAAAGGAATACCAATAGTGCCTTTCTTATGGGGTGTGTGTAGTTAATGAGAAATGCTTATAAAGTACTTGGTACATTGGAAGTGCTCATTGAACATTAGCCAGTTATTAGTACTATCATACAATGTGTACACATACACACATTTGTGCATCTTAATTAATGTCCTTCTCTCCACTCAATTGTAAGGATGATATACACTATCTTGTTCATTATAATAACCACAGAGCCTAGTATACGACCTGGCACATAGTAGGTGCTCAGTAAATATTGTGAAAGAGAGAAAGAGGAAGGACAGAAGGGAAGGGTGGGGCAGAAGGGAGGAGAAAGGGGAAAGAATGTTAGATCTGCAAGGGGCCACAAAGATATTCAGATCCACCTCCATCATTTCACAGCCCTGGAGAAGTCCAGCCGGATGAGCTCTTGCTAAGCCACCCACTGTGCTCTCCTTCCATCTCTTGGAGCTCCTTCTGAGGCTGTCTCAGGGAGAGCCTCCCTGTCTTGTAGCCTTCAACCTCTCCTTTCATCCTGACTTTAAGCTGCTCAAGTCTTTCCCACCTCTTTCTTTCCAGAAAACTCTTCCTGCCACCATCTTCCCCTTTCAGTTCTCCTTCCTTCCCTGCCCCTCACTATCATATTTCTTGAAAGAGTAAGTTTACATGCTGCATGCCCTGTCTTCACATCCCACTCATTCCTCAGCCCACAGCAATCTGGCACCCACCGCCACCACTCCTCTGAAAATGCTGTCTGGTGAAGCCCTGGAAACCCTCTTAATTTGGCAAATTCTACAATTCCTTGTCCATCCTCATTCTGCCTGACCTGTAGGTAACTTTCTGCACTATTATTTCCTTCTTTCCTTCTTAAAATTGACACTTGCATGATTGCCTTGACACTGCCTGCCTCAGCTGCAGTTTCTTTCTCTGCTTCTCTGGTCTTCCTTTCTCTCCTCTTATATTTGATGTTTCTCATGCTTTTAGTCACCCAACTAAATGTTGATGGCTCCCGAAACTCAGTTCCCATGTTCTGTCCAGGCTATGTTCAAAAGCAAAGATCCTGCAGAGTGTTAGGGTGAGAGTAAGTTGAATTCAGGTAGATTTAGGTTCAGATCCAGACTCTGCCCTTCATGAGTTGTTATCTCTTGCCTCAGCCCCTCCTCCACTAAATGGGGTTAATATTAATTCTGACCTCATGGGGTAGGTGTGAGGGCTAAAAGCCTTGAGCACAGTAGGTGCTCTATGAACAGTAGCTATTATTTTTATTGTGGTGATAATGATGGTGATGTCATTCACCTGCTTCATTGGCCCTTCTTTTTCTACAGGATAAAATCTAATTGCTGACCCAGGAGTTCAAAATTACCCCACAGTCAGATCATTCCAGCTTTTCCTTCTAAATTAATGCCATTTTTCTCCCATGCTAAAACTCCACATCAGGACTTTCATTTCCTTTGGGGTGATCCTCAGTGCTACAAATGGGATGGGTACTAAAGGAGGGAATTCATCTTTGACTATGACAATCCCCGCACACAGTAGGCACATAGTACCTAGGAGTCTGTTTGTTAAATGAACATCTGCATCAAAAGTTAGAGACATATTTCCAACTCTTATTATTGCAATATTAGGCTATCACCCCAGAGTCTATGTAAACCTTCTTTGAATCTAATTACATATCACTTTGTACTGCTGTTCAACATAATTAGCTCCAGGAATTGACTTCCTCTGAGCAGCTATGATTCTATGAGACCTGCTTGGAAAGTAACATTGAACCAGCACAGGGCGGAGGAGGCTGACCATCCTCTGGTGGGGACCTGGGCTCAGTTATGCCAATGGGCAGTTCTGTGGCCTTGGAATACATCCCCCAACTTCTGAGCTTTGGTGTCCTCAGTTAATTAAAATGGTCCTGATGAGCCTCATCTTTCAGGGTGGTCTTAGAGGTAAAGCAAGACCATATATGAAGAAGAACACTGTGCATATACTACCATCCCAAATTCACCTCTCAAGTTTTAATGTTTCCCTTTATGAAAGTTGACCTGGTCGATTCCCAACTGTTAGAATTTAGTAGGTATTTAAAGTCCATTTCTTGAAAAGCCTTAATCTGTTTTCCTGTGTCCTTATCCAGAAGAGCCAACATCTCCTACATTATGTTGGAGCCTCCTCTCTAAATCTTTTCCATTTCTATTTCTTTGTTGAGATGCAGTGACCTGAAGAGCAAACACCCATGTCTGTAGGGTGGGGCGAGGGGAATATGGGCCATTTCTCATTCCAGAACTGATCCTGTGTAACACAGTATAGTGGTTAGGGATGTGGGCTCTGCAATCAGATTGCCTGGGTTCAAAGCCCAGTTCCACCACCATGGCAAATTACTCTGAGCCTCAGTTTCTTTATTTGTATATTGAAGGTATTAGTACTATCTACCTTTTAATTGTTATAAAGGTTAAATGGGTTCGTGTTTGTAAAGCGCTTGGATTTGTACCCAATATAGACATGTTTGTTAAGTAAATATCTAAATAGTCCTCAGAGAACAGGAATGTCATAACTCCCTTAGTCCTTTCTTGGGCATGTATTGTAAGTCTTTCATGTTTTGGAAACAATAATTGCTGTCCTGAAGGCTCATTTAAACTTCAGCACTGTTCATTCATTCATTCACCAAATCTTTATGGTCCTTCAATTATCTTGAAGACACTTTATTGATCATAAAGGTACAAAACCAGATACAAGACCTGTCCCCAGTGGTATGCTGGAGCCAGCTCGTACTCTTCATGAGAGCTGATTATTAAGTTTTCAGGGATTTTGTAAGTCACAATTGTTGGTAGCTTGAAATCTGTCATGGTTGTATTTACACCACAGGAACCTGCCAGCACTACAAATTCCACCCCCAAACCCCACCCTCCCCAGCACGCATACCCAGCCACTATGGAATAGTGGAGGAGGCAAATACTAGTCAAGTAGTCACAGAAATGAATGGAAGGTTGGAGATTCTGGTATATGTCACAATGGAAAGGTCTGTGGTGCTAGGAAAGGTTGTAATGGAGCGATTTGACCTTGTCAAGGAGACCAGCGAGGGTGCCCTGAGCAAGTGACAGATGAGCTGAAGCCTGAAGGGACAGGCGCAATGAACTGGATGAGGAGGGAGCTGGGGGTCCTGAAAGATGATCGCCGGAACAGATGCTGGAGTGTGGACAAGATGTGCCTGAAGGGGAAACATTTTTAGCAGTGGGTGACATAAGCATGTTTGCAGTGTTCAGAGATTACTGTGGCCACAGTGTGAAAAGTAGATTATGGCGCAGGGTGAGGGTAAGTGGAGAGGCTACTGTGGCAGCTCAGACAAGGGACATGGCAGTGGAGAGGGAGAGAGACAGCTAGAATAGTGATATGGGTGTGGGGGGAGGCGGGGGAGGCAGGGGCAAAACCCACAGGACTTGACCTGGGGCTGGATGTGGAGGGTGAGGGAGGGAAGGTGTAAAGTGTGTCTCCTCAGTTAGGGGAACTCTAGTGTCTTGCTGAGGGGCAGGGGGTGATGAGTCTGCTCCACATTGTGCTGATGTGTCCACTGCTGGCTCAATCACAGAGAGAAACCAGAGCCACTGGACTAGTGCACACTCCTCAATTGTGTGAATGGCTGCTGGGCCAAAAACCTATGTGCCAAAACCAGGATTAAAGAGAGGAAGCAAAAAGGCACCAGGTACCAGAAAGAACTTCCTACAAGTTGTCCATTCTGAATGATCTGCCCAGAAAGTGGTGAACTCCATAGCGCCAGGGATGTAGAAGTGGCAGCTGGCCTGGACATGGCAGGAAGACCACGAAGGGACTTAGGGATGACTTTTCCCAATCAGGGGAGTCTCTGAGAACACAGTTTTCTGCAAAAACCTTGCTTCATTACTACCACTGTACCTTTTTCAGATAGGTTTCCATTAATGATCTCAATTCTTGATGTTTCCCTGTATCCATGCCATTCGCCATGTAAATCTGCAGGACCCTCCCAGCACCGGAGTTCAGTCATCTGATTTGCTTTGGCCACTAGAGTGAGGAAGAAGTGATGATGTGTCAGGTCCAAGCCTCATTTCTTCTTGCCTTCTTCTGTTTCTGCCATCACCATATGAAGGATGTTTCAGGTTAGCTCAGTGGTCCAGGAGGAAAACAAGATACACACGGAGCAGAACTGCCCCAGCTGAGGTGCTTCCAGACAAATCCAAACTGAAGTAGAGGCCCCAGTGACCTGCAGAGGCGTGCATAAACCCAGCCCACCGCCCACTTCCTGACTTAAGAGCTACA